CCCCCAGGCAAATCTCGGGTCCCATTCAGTCTCCCTGTCCTTTGACTGTTTAGTGGAGGTGGGACACTCTGCAGCACAATGATGAAGGCAAAGCCCTCAGATCGATCCGTTTTCTGTCACTGAAGGGAGTGGATCTGTCGCTGCCTGTGTGCCTCCTGGCTTTAGTAACACAGTAGTGCCTCAGTTGTCAAACAGTTTGTTCCTAATTTGTGTTCGATTACCAAAAATTTTAAGAACTGCATGTATTTTTGCCGTAAGAATGGGAAACCAAATAACTGGTTCCCAGGCCCCAAAACTATACTTATAAACTCATTTTTTTCTAGGACTTTAACCAATTTCACACTGATTTTTTTCTTTAACACTATCATGGTTCTCAGTTTTCCTCTTTTACAGCTGGTATTGATAACTTTCTTTGGAACCATGGTTACAGTATTGTACAAAATAAACCACCGAAAGAAAAAATCACTATGATGTATGCTTTACTGCAAGACCACATGCTCTAGGTTACCAGGGTGAGTGCAGTTCCCAGACCAAAGTGTCACCCCTTGGTGTCCCAGTGAGAAGTGACACGTGACTGACTCACACTTGGCCTGAACAGGTCTTTTCAAGTCAGATTTTCAGTTTGACTATCAAGCAAACTGAACACTGAGCAGGGTTTTATTTATTTATATGTTGCTGTTTGCGTAGTGAAAAGTTCCAGTTTAGAGCCATTCAACAATGGAGATAACAGCGTAATAGAAACTAAAACTAAAGCAACAAGTACGAATCACAGGCAGGCGCTTTCCCTGGAAAACAAGAGAGAGGCTAGGGAAACGACTGCAGCTTGGCTAGCAGCTGGAGGGGGCACTGTGGCGAGGAGGTCCGGATGGCCAGGCTGGGGCCCAGTCAGTCACTACCTTGGTCCCAGTTTCATGGCTCTGGAGCAATCCTGGTGGCTTAAGGGGCAGTGCCATTCTCATGCAATGGCACTCTTTCCTGTGGGTTCAGTCCCTGGGGCTCTGCTCTTCTGGGACCTGGGTGACCCTCAGGTTAGGACAGTGATGGAGACTTCTCAGGAGCATCCCATGGAGGGGTCTGAAACTAGAAGACGCTGGTCATCAGGTGTCCGTTAGTTATTTTTTGTGTTTTCTGTCTTGAAGGAGGATAAGTTAAGCTAGGTAAATTTTGGACTAATAAACTTTGTTCTGTCAACTTTTAGATAGACAATCCTTAGGTGTCTAACATGGGTATATTTAAGGTTTTGAGGACAATGATATAAAATGAGAGCCAAGCTCTATTCTTTTAGTTACTTAGTGGGCATTTGTAGGCCGAAGTGAAAAGTCACAGATGTAAGCAAAAACCATTTCTAAGTCTCTGACTACTCAGAAGCAAGTACAGCTTGTGCTTTTGATGAGCAACAGGTTAAGGACCCAAGAGGTTGTTGGACCTTTGTCCCTCTGGTGGTCTCTGACCAAGTCACAACGGTGGGCTGAGTCTTGCCTGTCTTGCTGTCATGTGATCAGTTATGCTAGATGAAAAATTGTAGATCTGGGGGAGAGGCCGTCACCCATGTTCTCTGCATCTGGGACACATTGCTTCCTTTTTCTACCTCTTGGAAAGGTTTATTTAATGTACACAATTCAGCAGATGGAAGGCAGAAGAGAAAGGGAAAAAGGTCTGAAATAATATACCAGCTGTAGCATTGGCCTTTGAAGCATTACTCACTGAGTGAGCTTCCCAAATGTGGCTTTCCTGTTTTCAGTCCCTCGCTCATTGAGCTGGGTTTCGTCTTTGGACTCTGCTGAGAACACTTTAGGGTTCCAGTCTCGCTAGGATTCCTGGCTTCTTCTTGGCTTCCAGAGTTGGCCTGGCATGATGGCGGTTCAAGCTGAGCATGTCTTCACTTGAACTATTTGCAGCTTTCCCCTTTGTAGCATGAATTATACCTAAGGAGGGGAATGATGGAGCCAAGCCCAAGTTTGTAGCCAGGACGGAGAGATTCTCAGCCTAAAGTCCTGTCTACCTGAGAAATTTAGGTGGAAAGTAACAAAATTTCCCCCACAAATTAGTATAACCACACTATAAAGTAAATGTGTTTTATAATAAAATAGAGCAGTGATGTAACTTGACTATGCTCTGGTGAGTAGAAGGACCAGAACTTTAAATTAGGTCTTCCAGGGCTGGGGAGATAGCTCATTAGAATAAGTGCTTGCCTGACAAGCACAAGGTCCTGAGTTCAATCCCCATTACCGAGAAAAAAAAAATAGGTCTTCAAAACTAAGCCATGTCCTCCCACCCACTCTAAAGCCATAACCCAAAGAGGAAAACCCACCTGTAAAGCTTTAGACAAGGTTAGTGACCAGGCGAAGAATGACGGGCAGTGCTAAGAGCTCGGAGCTGAGCAGAGCCAGTAGTGAGAGCTAGAGAAGAAGTTACAGATCATCTGGAGGGGCCAGCTGCTGTTGGACGTATCCTCAATGTGCTCTTGACCTTTTGCCCCATCTGTAATCGGGGTATAGAGTGTAAGGGCCAGGAAGATAGACTGGCAACCCAGGAACTCCCACGTCCCTGGCAGGCGGTGCACCTCCACCTGACTGAAGCCTGTTGCCTCTGGATTTGTAGCTTGTGAGGCTGTGGGCTTTATCCCTCCCTTTCCTCACCACAGGCTTTCACTGGCTTCTTTATATTTCTGTGCCAATTGAGGATAAACTGTGGATACCTCATCACACTGCACAACTGAGTGGTGCCTCTAACCAGGCAGGAGAACAAGTTACCCTCTAAACATGCCTATAGTGCATTTTTTTTTAAATTTTTTTTTTAACATTTATTTATTTTGTGTGTGTGTGTGTGTGTGTGTGTGTGTGTGTGTGTGGCCAGCTCAGCCCACCAGGGGGCGCGGCTGGCTGGCATGTGGTGCTGGGGGATCGAACCGCGGTCCCTGTGCTTTGCCAAGCTTGTTCCAAGTAGGTGCTTTAGACCACTGAGCCATCTCTCCAGCCCCTATAGTGCATTTTGGAACTGAGTTGTTGGTTGCTTAAAATCTCAACCTTGCTTCACTTTTTAGCAAGATAAAGTGTGCTACAGGACCTCAATGTTGCTCATCTGTAAAGTGGGAACAGTAAGATCAACTTCATGGGTCAGTTGCAAAGAGAACATGTTCAGACTTCCTGGCAGCAATTACAGCAGTTCCCTGCTGGGGCCAAAGCACTTATGGGAGAGGAGATTCCTTCACTCTGGCCCTCCAGCTTCCAGGCCCACTTCCAACCTGCAGCAGATTGAGGGGCCTGCCTCAGCAGAGAAAGCCATAAATTCTGCATGCAGCTGCGGTCTACCCTCACCTGCCTTAGCCTCACCCCTACATGCAGCATTGGTGTTATGGTTTGTGTCTAGTTGTCCCCCCAAAGCCTCATGCAGTCATGGGGCAGCTTCTGGAGTTTATGACTGATTCTTGATCCAATGCTGGGATTGCAGGTGTGAGTGCTGCGCCCTGGCCCTGGAGTGGGTGGTCCGCACTGCAATGAGAGGAGGGGAGAGAGGCGAGCTAGCTGCCTGAGCCACTGCCTTGCTCTTGCTTTTGGCCACTGTCCTGAAGGGTCTCTCTCTGCCCTGTGCCACTCGGTCTCGGAGCCAGCTGAGTATGGAATGAAACCTCCACTGTGAGCTAAATAAACCTTTCCTTCCTTTATTCCGGGTATTGCATATTTGTCCCAGCAATGAGAAAAGAGTGACTGAGACATTTGATTACCCAAAAAGCCAGTTCCAAGCTCTGCCCAAGATCTCCCTGGGCTTATGGGCTATGTTGTCGCTCCCTTTCTGAAGGAAAGCTGGTATCAGTTATCAGTGTGGGGCCTCTGGGGAGGAAGAGCTTGTCACTGCTGATGGCAGACCTGTTCCACCTCTCATTCTACCCTAGTGTCCCAGCTGATCCTCCTTTATAGAATGTCTCACAGCTGCCACTGGTCCCTGTGGAGGCAGGGTCAGTGTGTCCACCTTGTGCCTGGGGACCTGGGACAAACCCAAAGCACAGCTCTGCAGTTCTGCTGAAAAGCTGGTGGTCATGCCTGTCTTTTCTTGATGAAGGAGTTTTCCTTAGAACAGCAACTAGTTGCTTCTGAGTGCAGAGAGAAGATGGGGCACCCCTGAGTGAGCTCCTACTACCTTCTAGATGCTAGAGGGGGTCTTCTCATAGTAACAACCTCCCAAGCATGCAAGGCTGGTCTTACTGCAGTCCCTCCTTTACAGAGTAGAGACAGAGGTGAAGTCATTTGCCCATGTCATGCAGCTGGGAAAAGAACAAGGACCCTGTTACAATATGCTGTCTCTTAAGGACAGGTAAATAACAAGATCTTAAGCAGCAATTTAGGGAGAAAAAGGAAAGAGGCTCGTGATTCTACTATTTGTTCCTTTGACCAAGCTGGGAGTAGCAGGAAATCTGAGTGATTCTAAACACTTAGGCTTGCTGGATTGTGAAAGCAGAAACAACCCAACTCTCAGCATCCTCACAGAGGTGGAGCAGGGCTGAGTCTGACCCAGTACACATACGGAGTCTGTTGGATTTTCCTACCTCAGAAAAAAGTATTCTTTGGAAGAATTTTGGGTCAGACTTTGTAAGTGCAGTTTAAGGGCTAAGTCGAAGCTAGAGGTGTTTTGCTTTAGCCTGCAGTACTTTTTAAAAAAAAAAAAACTTCAAACTAATTGTTAACATTTTTTAAGTGCGGCAGTAACATTTTTTAAGATACAGCAGTATCAGGCAAAACGCCTGATGTCTAAATCATCTTGAGAAAGTGGAGGACTCACAAGCCTGGGCCCCTGTCCCCATTTGGCCACTGCTGGCTGGAGGGGAAGCTGTCCCCTTGGACAGGGAGGAAGGACGCTGTAGTCACCAGCACTCCTGACTCCTGCAGGGCGTGCCAGTGTGTCTGCAGCATCGCCCTCTTCCCGCCAGTGTTCGTACTGAAGACCCAAGAGGGAAAGCAGCTTTACCGTCATGGTTTCACACCCTTCTCCTTCGCCTTCTCTAGGTGTGCCTTTCCCAAAGAACTTTCTTCAGATCTGCAAGAAGATCCTGTGCCGCCTTTTTCGGGTCTTCGTCCACGTGTACATCCACCACTTCGACCGAGTCATTGTGATGGGTGCGGAGGCCCACGTCAACACCTGCTACAAACACTTTTATTACTTTGTCACAGAGATGAACCTCATAGACCGAAAGGAGCTGGAGCCCTTGGTAAGTGTCATCTGCACGAAGAGCACCCCAGTCTTGCTCAGGGGCTCAGCCATTTGTCACAGTACACTGCCAGATGCACGGAAAGGGTGCACTAATGGCTAGATGTTAGCCAGAAGGTTGCAGAATTGGAGCAGATTCAGCAGTCAGCTAAGGGCTAAGAGATGCCAAGATTTCCACTGCCCCTAAATAAATTATTGCCAGATAATGTCCATCTGAGAGGTGGCATGCTAATGAAAATATAGTGGTTTGGGCTGGAAGAATTAGCTTTGATTCTCAGCTCATTCACTTATAGGGACATCTTTGATCTCGTGTTATCTGTTATTAATCAAGGATAATAAAAAATATTCCCTCAGCAATAAATGAATATTTAGCACCTACTATGTGGCGCTACCAGGCTACTAGACCTACAAAATCAAGTAAAACTGCCTTTGAGATAGGGAATAATGTCAACCCTGAACAAGAACATAGTATCATCAGGACTTTTCCTTTTACATTGAATCTCCTGTTAGGGAGCTTCAGGGGGTATTAGAACCTAAGACATCCTAGGATAAATCTCTAGTATTATTGGATGGGTGAAGTGGCCACTCATATTTTCTTTATAAGGTATTTTGTTACTGTTCGACCCAGTTTTGCCTCAGAAGTCCAGGCCCCTAAAAATTTCATCACTTTTCTAACAGGTGATTCTTAACTGCCCATGATTCATCACAGTTATTCCTAGTTGGCTCTATCCAGTACTTTCATGTCCTGTATAATAGAGCAGAATTATGCCTTTGCTTGTTCAAATGGCTCAACAGAGCAGCTAAGTTTCATCCAAGTCCATTGGAATAAAGACCAGAGTACCAGGGCCAGAATGTCTGCTTTGGCTTGCCTGAACCTCTTTCTCTTTATTTTTTAAATTACACCTTTTATTACTATGTAGGCCAACAAGCCAGGTGACCCCATTGAAAAGTAGCTTGTTACACTCACACATCCTGGAAAAGGGTCACGGCAGAACCACATGCAGAGGCACTCAGTCAGTGAGGAGCTGGAGAAGGAAAAAATGTGAGCAGGAGCCTCATTGTGTTTCCATGGGAAGACGGAGGCAGAGGAGGGAAGCAGGCTTAGGGATGACTAATTTGAACAATGTTAGCAGGCTCTGGGGCATAAGGGTCACCCCAGCTGGCTGGTGCCTGCATTATGAGACCTTAATGGAGGAGGTTTGGGGCCCCCAGCCTAGATTGGCCGATTTGCATTGGTTGGTTGTCCATAGCTTGTAGATGGGTTGATTACCATCTCTGGGTGTTGGCTAGCTCTAGAAGGGGCAGTGCTTCTGAGTCAGCAAGACCCCAGAGGCAAATAGTCAAAGTTCAATGCATGAAAGACGTGTTTACATCAATATAGGATCTGTATCTGGTAAAGAAGATGTTGGTAAGTTTTATGTCACCTTCAGAATTTCTCAGCTCAGGAACAGTCCCTTGTTTAGCTGAGAGAACAGTCCCAGTTGTTGGGAGCGCATGACAAAAACATACTGCTTAGCATCACTCAATTATCCTAGAACAGAGCAAGACTCTGGTGTATGGTTGAGATGTTTCTTAAATCACTGGCTAAAGGAGACTAGTGTTCATTTTTTTTCTCGATGGCTTACTAGAACACTCTTGGGCCAGGGACTTAGTTATAGAGCAACAATCCATGTGGAAAGAAACAAAATTGTATTGATATTCTGCTAGTCTGTCCTTTATAAAGGCTGCTGGGTAAACAGTCACTGTCAGGAGAGAAGGTTGTGCAAACAACTCAAAGGAGTTAAATAATTAGAAATAGTTGACAATGCTAGTTTCAGAAGGTGTCAGGGACAAAAACAGAAAGGAACCGTGTAAATGAAGAGGCTGGGGGTGCTGGTAAGATGGCTCAGTGGTCTAAAGCACCTACTTAGAACAAGCTTAGCAAAGCACAGAGACCGCGGTTCAATCCCCCAGCACCACATGCCAGCCAG